ATAAATACAGCAGGAGCTTTTCCCAAAGTTTTCAACAGGATATGTTCCACATTTCTAATTAAATACAAAGAGGTTTTAAAATAAACCATACAGATTAACTACACATGTTTACAGTGTATAAGAAATCAAATCTAGGAAAACAATACTCTTTAATATTTCATTTTAAGATAAAGGCCAGGAACCCTCCAAATATTATTAAGCCACAACTCATAAAACCCTAGCCAACAGAGAAAGAAGCTAGAAATTGAAGTTCAGTTAATAATTTAGAAGGTCATAGGTTCCCTATTCTGCTTTGACCAGTATTTCCATGTGAATATTACTACTCATTAAACATTTGAGACTGTACAGTAAAGATAACACCACATTATAGAAAACCAAAAAATGTAAGAAGAAAACTCATACAATTAAATTTGAGAATTACATTAATATTACATGGTGACAAAACACTATACTATGTTTAAAACCCTACTACTATATTAAAAAAAAATTGCTGCTTAGATGAAGTTTTACTGTCAGTCATTGTACTGCTACCAAAGATCCTTTTCAAGTACCTGCCAAGCTAATCTATTAAATTGATGGAATCTACAACAATTTATGATAATCATAAATAACAGGCAGGTTGCTATAGAACAAAGTGATCCTTTCAGATATCTTAGCCCCACACTGGATGTTTGCCAAGGAACAAACTGGTGAAGCTGATCTACAAAATGCATTTGAGGTTAACTATTATTCCAACAAAGAATAAATGGAATCTAATGTACCAATGAAATGTCCTTCTTTTTGGCCTTACGTTTCCATAAATCATACATAATTTATAGCAATTTACTTATAATATGTGGTTAACATTCTTATATTTAGTACAGTAATGTCTCTAGATATGTAAAGATCTTCATTTTTTCAGTTACTGAATTTTACCAAACCTATATTTGTGCAGATAAACATAAAAGCATTTCTATATTACTTTTTTAGAGTTTTACTGTGGTGTCCTCATATAGAATCTTGTGCACCTTGTCTTGTAAGCTAAGCAGGGTTGGGCCTGATTAGGGTTTGAATGGGAGACTAGAAGAAGAAGAATATAGCAGTAGCAAAACTTATATATTGCTGAAAAGAAAACTGCATGTATGTGTCCAAGAATCCAATAGAAGTCAAGTCTGACTTCAAGGAAACTTTACTGTTGATGGGTTTAGATATCTGTGCCACTTTTTCAGTGATTTGGGCTATTTTTGTCCTAATTTAAATTGAACTGAATATACTTTTTTCACTGCATCAGACTGGATCAGAATTTTGAAATTGTGAAAAACCTATAGAAATAATAAAAAGCTATTTCTATGTGAAAATTTTGGCATTTTGCATTTCTTTTGATCAGAAAATATAGGCAGGAAGGTAGAAGGGAAAAATCCCTTCTGCATTGAGACCATTCATTCTTATTGGTGTCATTACATGAATAAGATAAATATTTTACGTCTAACAAATTTTGATCCTTGTCCAAGTTTCATCTGTGTGTGTCTGTGTGCGCACGCCTTCGAGTCAGTCTTGACTCTTGGTGACTGTGGGGACTAGTCCTTGCATTGAGACCATTCATTCTTATTGGTGTCATTACATGAATAAGATAAATATTTTACGTCTAACAAATTTTGATCCTTGTCCAAGTTTCATCTGTGTGTGTCTGTGTGCGCACGCCTTCGAGTCAGTCTTGACTCTTGGTGACTGTGGGGACTAGTCCTTGCATTGAGACCATTCATTCTTATTGGTGTCATTACATGAATAAGATAAATATTTTACGTCTAACAAATTTTGATCCTTGTCCAAGTTTCATCTGTGTGTGTCTGTGTGCGCACGCCTTCGAGTCAGTCTTGACTCTTGGTGACTGTGGGGACTAGTCCTTGCAGTTTCATCTTTGCCAAACTAAAAATAGGTAGGAAGCTGTATATATTTACGTTTTAATATGGGTGTTTCAGATTGGCACAGTCTTAAGTTAGCATGAACTACTTACTGGGCCAAAGAGAATCTTACACGTCAGTGTACTGACATATTCATTGGTTGGAAGATAAGATAGGTGATGTGCTTCCTCTTAATGAACTAGTTTAAATTGATATACACTTAAGCTTTGACAGACAGAGCATGATCGTTAGCATAGTCTTATCTAACAACAGTTCCTCTAATCAGTGTTTCTCAAGCTTGGCAGTTTGAAGATGTACGGACTTCAACTCCCAGAATTCCCCAGCCAG